TTTTTTTTTGTTGTTGTTTTAAAACCTGGACACCACTGATCGTGAAGTTTGTGATGTGCTTATACCTGAACTTGTTAAAGAGAAAAATATCAGGGAGAATTAGTGTTTCTATCTACTCCTCAGACTATTAAAAGTGGTTTTTGTTAACTCTGTCCTGATAATTGATGTTATATTGGTGATAGGGAGCAATTTAGTTTTACTATCTAGAAAGTACTGATTATGAAGATTGTGCTTATAGGTTTATACCTAAATTTGTGAGAGAGAAATATCATTGAGAATTAGTGTTTGTAAGTCGTTTTTGTTCACTTTGTTCTGATAATTGATGTTATATTGGTGATAGGGAGCAATTTGGTTTTACATTCTAGAAAGCACTGATTATGAAGTTTGTGCTGATACGTTTGTGCCTAAATTTGTGAATGAGAAAATTAACAGTGAGAATTAGTGTTTGTAAGTGGTTTTTGTTCACTTTGTCCTGATAATTGATGTTATATTGGTGATAGGGAGCAATTTTGTTTTACAATCTAGAAAGCACAGTTCATGAAGTTTATGCTGATAGGTTTGTACCTAAACTTGTTAAAGAGGAAAATATCAGTGAAAAATTATTTAGCCTGGTTGACGGTCATTTTTTGAGAAGAATGAGTTTTTGAAAAGTAATTTTTTGGAGAATATATGGTTAAAAAGTAGAAAAATGTTTTGGATTTTAAGTCTACTTTATCTGACCAATACCTATACATTTTGAATCTCTTGTTTTCAAAAAATCGCGGTTGTTTTTGCCTTGCTTAAAGCTTGGGGAAGTGACATCCATGACTGAGGAATTGAGTTTTCAAAATTTTTTGCTTCTTTAGGAGGAAATGATCCTGCCTAATGATTTTTATATACCTCTAATGTATGTGTTTCCTCTGGATGGATGAAGAACCTGTGCACCCATTTCGCAGGTGAATTTGAAACCGAAGGTTCCCACCAGGGCCATATGTACAGAGCATCTTGAACTAAGAAAAGAAATACTGACTCTCCTGAGTCTCCAGAAACAGGTAATTCTTCCCGAGTGTTATCTCAATTATTATCTTTTTTCTTCTTGATAAATTGTATTCCAAATTCCTTGTAATTCTTTTGTTATTGATCAGAAAGTCTACCTCATTGAGTCATAATAACAGCATTGACCTTTATTCTTTCGTCTATTTCAAATTTTCTAACAGCATCATTATGTGTATGCTGACATACCTAAGTTATCCTACTATCCTGCCTTTTAGTGTTTTTTGTCTCTCTTCCAGTTGTTTTTTGTTTGTTGTACTAGGTTCTAACTTTCAGTTTGTTGATTAAGGAAGTATTCACCTGCTGATCTTAGTCCAAATTTGGCAACTGAGTGAAGTCCACGAAGGTGGTTCTGTAGTTGTCCAAATTTTGGTAGATTCCAGCAAACAAGATTAAAGTTGATTTTATATAAGAATGGTTGATTATCGCTTTTTTTTTT